CCTAACCATAGTGGATGACTGGAGCAGGCTAATGTGGGCGTATCCGCTGAAGCAGAAAGATCAAGCCGCCTCCACGATTCGGGACGATTGGCTGCCGTTCGTGGAGAAGCAAGCGGAGTGTGTGGTGAAGCGGATTAGGACAGATCGGGGTGGTGAGTTCCTTGGAGCTGAGATGACGGCCTGGCTCAAGAAGCAGGGCATCCAGAGGGAGCTGACCACGGCTTACACCCCACAGTCCAACGGTGTAGCAGAACGGGCGAACCGGACAATTCTGGAGACAGCTAGGGCGCTGCTCATAGAATCTGGGCTGGGCAACTTGATGTGGCCCCATGCTGTTCGGCACGCTACCGTCGCTAGAAACAGGGTACTCACAAAGGTTGGGGATGACTCGTGGGTGCCGTTGGAGAGGTGGCTTGGGAGGAAGCCGCCGGTGGACATGCTGAGGGTGTTCGGTTGCATGGCAGTCGCCCACGTCCCCAAGACCTACCGCAGTAAGTTGGGGGCGAGTGCAATCTGGTGTGTGCATTTGGGGCTGGCTGCTGAGAGCAAGGGATGGCTGCTGTGGGAACCTTCCAAGGGTGTGCTGTTTGATACGGGGATGTGAAGTTTGTTGAGGGCATGATGTATGGGAGCTGGGAGAAACAGCCGGACGCCATGGTGTCCCAGCAGATGGAGCAGATCACCATGCAGCTGGACCTAACTCCTAGTGTGTGGGAGGAGGGAGAGGAGGCAGCTGCAGAGGGTGGTGATGGAAAGAAGGTACAGGAGGCACCTGCTGGTGGAGAAAACGATGGTGTGGAGACTAGCGGTAGCACTAGTGGAGCTGCTGGATCCGAGGGAGGAGAGCAGCAGCAGGGGAAAACTAAGAAGCCGAAGGGTGTCGTTATGAAGGGATGGGAGACACCCGTCTCCAGGCCAGGACGTACCCGTATGGCTACTAAGAAGCTGACTGCAGGAGCTGATGTAGCGGAGCAGCAGCTTGGGACTCAGGAGGCATTGCTGATTCTACCGCATGGCTATGACCCGGATGAGGAGGATGAACCTGCCTACAGTTTTCTTGCCCCTGCACCAGAGGAACCAGCTAGCATGGAGGAGGCATTAGCTGGACCAGATAAAGAGAAGTGGCTGGTCCATGGATGCTGAGTACCAGAGCCTGCTAGAGAATGGGACATGGGAGCTGGTGGTGCTGCCTGAGGGGAAGAAAGCGGTACAATGCAAATGGGTGCTAAGAATCAAGACTGACGACAAGGGGCAGGTCACCATCTACAAGAGTAGGTTGGTGGCTAAGGGGTTTATGCAGAAGGAGAAACGGGACTTCAATGAGATCTTTGCTCCCACTGCCAAACCCCCTACCCTTCGTGTCTTGTTGGCAGATGCAGCCGTTAGTGGGAAGTTCAATATCCAGATGGACATATCAACGGCATTTCTTAACGGGATTTTAGAGGAGGAGGTGTTCATGACGCAGCCACCTGGGTATTAGGATGGTACGGGCAGGGTGTGCAAGCTGAAAAAGTCCATCTACGGCTTGAAGCAGGCGCCATGCTGCTGGTACCAGAAGTTGGCAGCTGTTTTAGAGGAGATGGGATTCAGGACCAGCAGCTGTGATGAGAGCCTCTTTCTCAAGGGGGAGGGGGAGAAGCTGGTGTTGTTTTTGGTCTACGTGGACGACATTCTTCTCTTCAGCAGCAGCATAAAGGAGATCCATAAAGTGCAGCAGCAGCTGATGGAGAACTTCAAGTGCAAGAACCTTGGGGAGGTAAAGTACTACCTCGGGATGCACGTGGAGAGGGTTTATCTGGATCACAGGTGGTTGAAGCTGCACCAGGAGAAGTTCATCAAGGAGCTTGGGGAGAAGTACGGAATTGAGAATGAGCGCAAGGTTGCAACTCCCCTGCCAGCAGAATTCAAGCTTGTGAAAGCTGCAGAGGATGAAGGGGTTGAAGCCGAGGAGCAGCAGCAATTTCAGTCCTTGGTGGGCAGCCTCTCGTATGCAGCAGTTCACACGAGGCCCGACATCTCTTTCTCGGTTGGGCAGCTGGCTAGGGTGGTGCAGAATCCATCAGAGGAGCAGGTGGATGCAGCTGAGCGTGTGGTGAAATATCTAAACTCTCACCCAAGCGTTGGAGTTCAATACTCCGCATCTGCACAGGTGAAGCAGAAAGGGGTTGAGGTGCTGAAAGAGAAGGGGGAGAGGCTTGGAGAAGGCAAGCTCTTTCTCACTTGCTTTACCGTTGCTACGTGGGCCTCTGAGAAGGAGGATTCCTCATCTGTGGGATGATACATCTGCGTAGTTGGGGGAGGACCGGTTAGTTGGAGGTCAAAGAAGCAGACGGAGACAGCACTCTCTTCCGTGGAGTCAGAGTACATGGCAATGTTTCATGGGGTGAAGGAGGTAATTTGGCTGAGGAGGCTGTTGGAGGAGATTGGCCAGGAGCAAAAGGTTGCTACGCCGCTGTTTTGTGATAGCAAGGGAGCTCTTGGGATGGCCAGGAACGCTGTGCTTCATGGGCTGAATAAGCACATGCGTATCAAGTGGCACTGGCTGCGTAAGGAGGTGAAGAGGGGGACGGTGAATCCGATCTACATCAAGACTCACCAGCAGCCAGCAGACTTCCTCACCAAGAGGCTTGCGGATGAGCCTCATTGGCGTTGTGTGCGCATGAGTGGAATGAGCATGAACTAGTATGGAATGATGGGGATGCAGCCGGCAGGCTGAGGGGGAGTGTGTTGGGTGCAAATTCACATTGCACGACATCCTGCCGTCTGTTTGTACGAGTATGCGTGTGCGAATGCATTTGCGTGTGAATGGTATGTTCGTGTGTTTGTTTGCTTTCGCAATTTTCGCTTGAAGCATTTGCAGGTACTCGCACAATGTGCGCTTCGGCATAACATTGTACGCGCTATGAACAGTACAAGCAGAAAGGACGAGCTCGCAAAGGAACCCAAGATGGAAGCTTTGTGGTTCGGCTTACTTGATTGCGCAGATTCAGTTCTATCCAACTCGAAATTGTACTGTTTTGTTTGGTTGACTATAGTGTAGCAGGGCAGGCACTATACGGGTACAATTTAGGTGAAGGTTGGATGTTGTTTGTCTGTATCTGCATGCTACAGGGCCAGGGGAAACCAGCGGAACCAGCATTTGGCTGGTTGGGCAAAGAGAAAACAGGTTCTGTTTTTAGGACCTGAACCTGGTTGTTGTTTTCCCAGGTTGGAAAAACAGAACCAGAGGTTGTTTACCAACCTACCACCTGCTGTTTTGTCCAGCCAGGTTGGTTCTGTTGCTTGGAATTATTTGGGATCATCCTTGGTTGTTCCCAGGTTTATTCCCAAGGTCCTTGCTAGCTAGATCTATTTATTCTTTCTCTGTTTGTACCTGGATATAGTGAAATTGATTCAAGCGAATTCCTCCCTTCCTGGAATTTCGTTTCTACGCGGTGCGACGGCGGAATGCTACCCGAGTCAACGCTAGTACGCTAGCACTCCAACGCTAGGCTAAGGCTCTCCGAGCCATAACTTCGTAATGGCAAAACTTTTCACGAGGCAACTTGGCTTATTTTAAAGCTCTTAGAGTGAGCTTCGATATAGGAAATTCTCAGCTTAATCCGATCGACGGTCTGCACGATACGCTGCGCGACATTCAAGGTACTCTTGCTGTTTTGGCTAAGTTCCTCTTGATCCCTCTCTCTACAAACTCGGACCCGAGGATAGGGGCTGGTCTTGTACCAGGCACCCAAGGACCCTTGGAGGTGACCCCGAGGAGAGGTTTTAAGTTTCATAAAGTCTTAATAGCTTGAGTTTATTAGGCCCTTACACCAACACGCGAGGCAACTTGGCTTATTTTAAAGCTCTTAGAGTGAGCTTCAATATAGAAAATTCTCAGCTTAATCTAATCGACGGTATGCACGATACGCTGCGAGACGTTCAAGGTACTCTTGCTGTTTTGACTAAGTCCCTCTTGATCCCTCTCTCTACAAACTCGGACCCGAGGATAGGGGCTGGTCTTGTACCAGGCACCCAAGGACCCTTGGAGGTGACCCCGAGGAGAGGTTTTAAGTTTGATAAAGTCTTAATAGCTTGAGTTTATTAGGCTCTTACACCAACAGGAACAACTAGGGATGATCCCAAATAATTCCAAGCAACAGAACTAACCTGGCTGGACAAAACAGCAGGTGGTAGGTTGGTAAACAACCTCTGGTTGTGTTTTTCCAACCTGGGAAAACAACAACCAGGTTCAGGTCCTAAAAAACAGAACCTGGTTTGTCTTTTCCCAACCAGCCAAATGCTGGTTCCACTGGTTTCCCCTGGCCTTGTAGCATGAAGATACAGACAAACAACATCCAACCTTCACCTAAATTGTACCCCTATAGTGCTTGCCCTGCTTCACTATAGTCAACCAAACAAAACAGTACAATTTCGAGTTGGATAGAACTGAATCTGCACAATCAATTTAACCGAACCGCAAAGCTTCCATCTTGGGTTCCTTTGCGACCTCGTCCTTTCTGCTTGTACTGTTCATAGCGCGTACAATATTGTGCCGAAGCGCACATTGCGCAAGTACCTGCAAATGCATCAAGCGAAAATTGCGAAAGCAAACAAATACACGAACATTCCAGTCACACCCAAATGCATTCGCACACGCCTACTCATGCAAACAGACGGGAGGATGTCGTGCAATGTGAATTTGCACCCAACAGTTGAGTAACTGGCAGATGATCTTTGTGAGGAGTAGGAGAATTTTCTAGCTGCTGTGAGCTGGGTCCTTCAAGTGCTTGAAACAGGTGCCAGAAGGGCTCGCTCCAACCCTATTCGAGCATTTCGCGAGTATTTTGCGGATGTCGTCTGGGATCAGATTCAACGACGAGGCTGGCGCTCCAGTGCAGTTGGTTACCCAGCTCGGGATTTGTATATCCCCTACTGGGTGTTTCGTCCGTAAGGTGGCGAGTGTAGCTGGTGTTGGTTCCGCGAGCAGAGTCATTTGTAACGCAGACACTGCCTTGGAAATGTTGGCCTATTTTATCAACCCCTCTGCTCACGCACACAGGCCTGCATCATCTGGTTGGTGGCGTGTTGCGGCTCCAGTAACAGGTATGGTGCATGCCTCACTGTGGAGATAGGCAAGATCCTCGATCATGAAGTGGTGCGGCCGCATCTCTATCTCGGAGGGGTCGAATGGTCAACCAAGGTAAGAATTGCAGTACGGTCCACGCTCCCACACAATCTGGTTTTGTAGCCAATCTCAGCATTGCCGCCAGAAGGCACATGGTATAGCTCCCCAGTATCTTTTGGGGGCAACCGCCGCACCACAAACGGCTGGTCTGCTTGCTGGAGTGGTGCAGTATCCCATGTGCTAGCTAGGTGCCAGATAGATTCGTCCTTTGCTAGGTCAGCGGGTGATTTCTTGGATGGCTGCGATGGCACATCTGCAGCCTGACCTGCTGGCATGTTGGAAGGTTATGGCATACCACCCTGCTCCCCCCACCCCCCCCCCCCCCCCCCCCCCCCCCCCGGCTTCCTTGTCTCCGCGCAGACACATGCTGATTCTCCTTATCGCCCAAGAAGACCTCCTCCGAAAAGTCTGAGCGCTAGGGCATATGGTCGCTCTCGTTCTGGGAGTCATCAAAACCTTCTTCATCCCCATTTGCTGGCGTTGTCAGACGCCTTGGATGGTTGTGGCGATCCCCCCACGTGCTTAATCTCACGATCGTGGCCTCTCCTCCTAGTAGTGGAATTCTTCCTCCACGTGTGTTTTTCCTCCGCCCTCTCCCTCCGCGGGATATCGCGGAGGGTACGCAGGCCCCGCCGTCACTTGCGCCTTCCTGTGCGGGTCTTAAACCCTTTCCAGCCGGGACCCAGGGGGTTGCCATAGTTGCTCGTCCCGCACCTGTTGGCCTGCCCCACACGTTTCCCCGGCCTCTCGTCGAGCTCCGTGTTTCTCGGTGAGTTGCCTGCTGGGCTGTGGGTGATCGTTCCATGATTTGTTGCATTTGGCGTGCCCGCTCGGCCCTTTGTTGTGCTTGACCAACCTCGCCCGTATTGCTCCTCACATTGGGTTCCTCTGCAGGTTGTGGTGCAGATGACAACGGACGTGCTTGCCGTGGTGGTGGTTGCCCTTGAAGAAGCCAGCCCCGGAGGGGTCCCGGGGCGCAAGGTCCCAGCCCTGCTCCGGGCCGTCTCAGCGCTGGCTGGGCACGCACCTTCTTCTTCTTTTTCGCCCGGGCAGCGTCGGAAGCGGCTCCGTTCATGGGACCCTCATTATCACCCTCCGCTTGGCTGTGCTTCTGCGTGCTTGCGGCCGCGGCAGCAGCATGCGTTGGGGGGGACTCAGCAGCAGTCGGTGCAGGCTCTTGGTTTGGGGGTCCTTCTTGTTGTCTTGCTGCCTCGGCTACGACTGCCGCAATCTCAGCTACCCCAAGTGGTGATAGGGATTCGGCCACCAATGGCGCTGGGGATTCAGCTGACCCCAGTCCCGTCCGTAACTCCTCCGCGGCCGGACCCCCGTTCATAGGTAGCAACGTCGCCGTCGGTTGTGCCGCTGAGGATGAGATTAAGTCGCCGCCAAGGCGGCAGCAGTCCCAGCACCAGGGCCAGCGCGTCTCCTGTGCCGTCTCCGTCGACTCAGCCGCTACAGCCACGTCAGTCTCCACCTGCCACGTCACCCCGGGTCCCGCAGCAGCACCAGTCTCTTCCAAACCAGTTACCTCTACCCCAGCCTTAGCTGCATCAGCCGCCAGCTCCCCAAGTGCCGCTGCGGATTCTCCATAAACTTGCACCAACAGGCCACTTGGTCAGCTACCTGCCTATTTTGCATCAGATGGTGAAGGATGAGATGGCTGCTGGCGTACGTGTGAAGCGGGAGCCCACCGAGGTACTTGGTTGCCCGACGTGCATGCAAGCCAAGTTTACTCGTTTCCCGTTCTCTAGTTCGGAGGCAACGGCTAAGACACTGCTTGATGAGGTGGTGATGGATGTGGTGGGCCCCTTGAAGCTTGGAGCTGCTGGAGTTTAGTATTTTCTCACCATAGTCGATATCTACTCCCACATGACTTGGGTGTATGTGCTGGCCAAGAAGAGCGACATTGCTGAAACGGTGAAGACCGATTGGTTACCGGTAGTAGAGCGGCAACAAGACCGACTTGTAAAATCAGTCTGCACTGACCAGGGGGGAGAGTTACTAAGCATGGAGTTTTAATTGTGGCTGAAGAATAATGACATAAGGCATACCCTACTATGCCATACTCCCCTGCAATGAACGACGATCATCGAACGAGCGAACCCGACAATCACGGAGACGGCACACGCGTTGCTCATTAAAGCCGGGCTAACTGACTATTTTTGGTCTGATGAAGTATGAAGTGCATGTGTGGCCAAGAACAGAGCATTAACTCATGTGGGAGCAGATAAATGGGTGCACTATATGGAGTGGATTAGAAGGAAGCCGAAGGTCAATATGCTTAAGATGTTCGGGTGCATGTGCATGTCGCTCGTGCCTAAGCATTTTCGGTACAACAAGGTTTGTGCAAAGGCGATATGGGCTGTGCAACTGGGCATGGCTCAAAATTGCAAGGGATTGCTTCTTTGAGACCCATTCAACATGGAGTTCTTGATGAGCAGGAACTCCAAGTCCATGGAGAATCTCATGTACATGGATTGGAAGGCGGAAAATGTATCGAAGATAGGCTTGAGGTTTGGGAAGGTGAAGAGTTCCAGTTTGGAGCATGTGGAGCTGCCTTTGGAGTTGAGCAACACCCTACCGGACGTCGCCTTTGCTACCAGACAACTGACTAGGGTTGTGCAATGCTGTAATGAGGAACAAGTAGCAGCTAAAATGAGGATGGCCAAATATCTCGGCCAAACAGTAACCGTTGGGCTGCAATACTCGGCGGCGGCGCAAAGGCGCCTAAAGGGCGCGGATGGTGTTGAATTCGGGCGTTTGTTTCCCACAACCTTCTTGGATGTTTCTTATTCATCAAAACCAGAGGACATGACAAGTGTTGGAGGCTTCATTTTCTATGTTGGTGGAGGCCCAACTTCTTGGGAAAGCAAGAAGCAGTTGGGCCAAGCTTTAAGCTCGGTGAAATTCGAGTACATGGCACTCTTCTGTGCCTATAGGAAATTGTGTGGCAGCGGCGTTTGTTGGCTGAGTTGGGGGAGGAGCAGAATGCACCTACCACACTTTATTGTAACAGCCAGGATGTCATTGCACTTGCTAAGAACCTTGTCATTGCATGACCTCACCAAGCACATGACAGTCAAATGTGTGAAGAATAAAACGAGAGAATGAGCGAACTATGAAAGAGTTGGGTACAAGTACTAACCCTAATTGGGTTGTACCCCTTATGGGCTACCCCACTACAGCCTACACAGTCTATAGCATATCAGTTTGACACACCCCCATAGGCAAAGTGGGGGAGAACAAGCGATCACAAGACCAGTCAAGCAAAGCAAAGCAAGCTCAGGGTGGATCACAAAGTCACCACACAGTCCGAGCACAAGAGTAAGGCCATAAGGCCAGTTCACATGCAAGATCATATATATAAAGGTAAACAAGCAAGTGCAGGTATAGAAAGAGTACAGTACAAACAAGATCAAGAAGTGAACAAGCGAGGCCAAGTAGGCACAAGACCTAGCAAAGTACAGAAGCGCTGATGATCACAAGGCGGAAGGGCCTTGGTGAATATATCAGCAGTGTTGGCCTCAGAGGCCACGTAGGTGAGGCGGAGCTGACTACGCTGCTGCAGCTCACGAGCCAGGAAGTAGCGAAGAGCAATGTGCTTCGTTCTGTGCTCTAGTCTGTGCTCCCGACACAAGGCCAGCATGGCCTTGTTGTCTACGTACAGAACTGGAGGAGAACGAGGCGGCTCTCCTAGGTCAATCAGCAGGTAGGTGAGCCAGCGTAGCTCCTGTGCAGCCATGGCCCCTGCGTAGATCTCAGCCTCACAGCTGGAGCTGAGAACAGAAGACGAGCGGGTAGACTGTCACGAAACAGAGCCGGAGCCAAGGCTGAAGGTGTAACCCTGTGACGACCGCTGCAGAGCGTGGTCGTCAGCCCAAGAAGTGTCTGAACATTATAGCTTATGCTATTGTGTAGGCTATAGTGGGGTATCCCATAGGGGGTACAACCCAACTAGGGTTTCATATTTGTACTCGCTTTATTCATAGTTTACATCATTCTCGTTCTAATCTTCGCATGGTATCGAGCAGGTTCCCCCTTGGGAACTGTGCTTAGGGCCCACCACATCGAGTTTTTTTTTTTTCGTGCCCGAAGCGCGCTCAGCCCGAGTCGCACTCCGGGCCCTCACTTCGTCGAGCCGCCCTAGCGGCCCTTCACTGCGGCCCCGCCGCCTGTCTCAGCGGCCTCGCCGCCCTTTTCTGCGGCCCCGCCGCCTCTCTCGTTGCGGCCCCGCCGCCCTTCACGGCGGCCCCGCCACCCGTCTCAGCGGCCTAGCCGCCCGTCTTCGCGGCCCCGCCGCCTCTCTCGCTGCGACCCCGCCGCCTCTCACTGCGTCCCCGCCGTCCGTCTCAGCGGCCCCGCCGCCCGTCTTCGCGGCCCCGCCGCCTCTCTCGCTGCGGCCCCGCCGCCTCTCACTTCGGCCCCGCCGCCCGTCTCTGCGGCCCCGCCGCCCGTCTCCACGGCCCCGCCGCCTCTCTAGCTGCGGCCCCGCCGCCTCTCTCGCTGCGGCCCCGCCGCCTCTCACTACGGCCCCGCCGCCCGTCTCAGCGGCCCCGCCGCCCGTCTTCGCGGCCCCGCCGCTTCTCACTTCGGCCCCGCCGCCCGTCTCTGCGGCCCCGCCGCCCGTCTCCACGGCCCCGCCGCCTCTCTAGCTGCAGCCCCGCCGCCTCTCACTGCGGCCCCGCCGCCCGTCTCTGCGGCCCCGCCGCCCCTCTCGCTGCGGCCCCGAGCCCTACCAGCGGCCCTACGGCCCTACACCGCCCACGCCACCCGAGCTGCCCGACCCGCCCGAGCCGCCCGAGCCGCCCGAGCTGCCCGACCTGCCCGAGCCGCCCGAGCCGCCTGAGCTGCTGAGGGGCAGAGCCGCCCGACCCGCCCGAGCCCCCCGAGCCGCCTGAGCCGCTGTGGAGCCGAGCCGCCCGAGCCGCCCGAACCGCAGTTGCTGCTGAGCCGTCCGAGCAGCCGCGTTGCTGTGCTGCTGAGCTGCCCGACCCGCCCTGTTTGGTGAGAGCCGCGCTCCTGTCACTGCACTGCCCCTGTCCTACAGGTAGTACTTCTAGGCTACTGCCGTCATGGCTACCCCTAGTGTCCTTGCTTTTGACGCTGAGGGTCGGGCCATTGACTTTGAGGTCTGGGTAGACGACCTGCAGCTGTTCTTACAGTGCGATAGGGCAGACGGTCTCTCTCTCTTTGACCTTACCTCTGGCGCTTCCCCTGCCCCTGCTGCTGATGCTGACGCCACTGTTTGCTCCCAGTGGGCCACACGCGATGCTGCTGCACGTCTTGCTGTGCGTCGCCACCTCCCTACCTCCGAGCGTGCGCACTTTAGTCAGTACAAGAGTGCTCAGACCTTGTACGACGCTGTAGTCGCGCGCTACTCCTCCCCTGCCACTGCTGCACTAAGCCGTCTCATGCTACCGTACCTCTTCCCTAACCTTGCTGCCTTTCCTACCGTGGCTGACCTCATTACGCACCTCCGCACTAGTGACACTCGCTACCGCGCTGCACTCCCTGCTGACTTCTGCGCCAAGAACCCCCCCCCCATGTACATCACTCGGTACTTCCTAGTCACTCGCCTTCCTGAGTCCCTTAGTGTAGTCAGGGACCACTTTCTCTCAGTCTGTCCCACCACACTCACTGTTGATCTCCTCGAGAAGGCCCTCTTAGCAGCGGAGAAGAGTATAGTCGCTGTAGGAGCCTCTCGAGATGACCCGCGCACCCCCATCTTTGAGGGGTGTTCCCCCTCCCCCCTGCTGCCCTATGTTGCCTCTGCTGCTACGGCCGACCTCCTTGGTCTTGAGTCAGTCGGTGCGGCGTCTGCCCCTAGCGGGAGACGCCGCCCTGGCAAGGGCAAGGGGGGCAAGGGAGCTGGAGGAGTGGGCGGTGGAGGTGGAGGTGGAGGCGGTGGGGGTAGTGGGGGTGGCGGTGGGAGTGGAGTTGCGGGTGGGGGGGTTGGTGGCGGCGGTGGAGGCGGAGGCGGCGGCGGCGGTGGCGGTGGGAGCGGAGGTGGCGGAGGAGGCGGCGGTGGAGGCGGCGGTGGAGGCGGCGGTGGAGGCGGCGGCAGTAGCGAAGGCGGCGGAGGCGGTGGGGGTGGCGGTGGAGCTGGTCGCGGGCCTTCGCGGAGGAGTGGCTCCGGTAGTGGCGCGCGCGCCAACAGCAGGAGCGCGGTCGTGAGACCCTGTCCCCTCAGCAGCTCCGTGAGTGGTACACTGCACGCCAGCGGGGTGGGGGTTTTGGTCCGTGCACCTACGTCCTGCGCACCGGCGACCGTGCGGGTGAACAGTGTGGGGGTCCGCACCCGAACCCAGCGCTGCTTTGGCCGCCTGACGGACACGTGGCGTCACCAGTTCCCGGAGGCCTCAGAGATTCCTCGCTGGGGCGAGCTGTCTAGGGCGGGTGTTGTCATCTTTGATCTTGACTTTGATGCTATTCTCTCTGCCATGTATGCTGTGTCTCTTAGTGATGAGGGTGACTGCTACCGCTGTTTCCCGCCCGATCCGGGCATTGAGGCTGCTGCCCTAGGTGCTTGCGACGCAACTGCTCTAGGTGCTAGTGTGTCTGCGTCCTCAGGTACTGGTGAGTCTGCGCTCTC